CATTAATTAAAAATTACGGAAATGAATGTGAAAAGACGTCTCGTTACCATTTCCCGTCATCTGACGATTGTGGGAAAGAAGAAGTCTGTCTCAATGAGATTAATGATCGGATTGATTGAACGTTTTGAGACTTCAGTAGTAAAAGCGAGCCAGTCAGATGGCTGGCCCGAGTAACCGAGGTACTCCTATAAGGAGGCCAGAGCGCCGAAGCGAAACCGATCTGGATGTAGAGAGAAAGATCGGCGAACGAATACGTGCAACCTCGTACCTGGAGCGAATTAGGGAGAGAAGGGGGAGCACTAAATGTTAGAAAATCATTGCGTGCCAATGTTGACTCGTACTGCAGAAAGATCGTGACATTTGAAATTTCATCAGCGGCGGCAACCGCGGTATAATGCGAAATATACACGTATCTCAATTATGTTTTGCTAGTGCATTAATTTTACTTTTTTTAGTATTTATCTAGTAGCCGTACTTGAAATATTAGAAATTATTAATTTATCTAACACAAAGTTCGTATTCAACGGAATGAGAATCGAACGCAGCGGTGCGTTCAACGTTAAATGGAATTACATTTTGAAACATCGGTGCAAAAATCACAATTATCTCCGAAGTAGAGAGATTATCAGTGGGTGAGTTGCAACACGTGATTTTATGCACAAACGTTTTTGCGCAAACGTTGCTTTCCTTCCTGCGATTTTTCATAACGGAAATCACTTAGCACGAGATTCGCTTACTCAGTAACTGACTTCGAACGCCGTCACTCAAAAGTAAGTATCTCTCTGTCACTAAACGTGATATATCTAATATACGTACACGGGATAAGTATTTCGCTACCGGTTATCGCCGCTCACAAGAGGGTACAGTGTCGTAACGCGGAAGCCTAATAGTCTTCCGCGTGCACACTGACACGCAACATAGTGTTAACGATTTGACGACATACCGGCGTTAAGCCGACAGCAAGTCCAGTAAAAAGATCGAAATTGGACGAAACCGCAAGAATGAAATATCTCATTAAACTTCACTTAACTCAAATGCGGAATTAGCATGAGCTGAAATTGCCTTCCGTGAAAAGAGAGATTCTTTAGCAAAAGGAATTCTCAATGAGATTGTAAATCAGAAAAGAAAAGTTAATTGATACATGTATATTTAATAGCCATCCTTTAAATAATCGAAACGAGGTCGGAAAACTATTAGCTAAACCAGAACGGAATCGAGAACACTGATCTCTTCGTCCAACTCCGTTGGAAAGTGCAGTTTTGTTAGTCGTATGAGCAGTGAGTCATGGAAATTGCATGAGAAAAATACAGGAGAGATAGTTTCGAGGATTCGAAACCGGGTTAGTCGTTCGCGGGGCCCGATGTTTTCACGACCATAGCGTCTCTGAAGTGTTTTCGTCTCGCTCGAATCGAATAAGGCCCCGCTGAGGTGGCACTTTCGCTGAAAAATTGAAACCAGTCCTGATCAAGACCCGCCGCGAGCCTCAGGACGAAAGTGGTCTGGCGAGAAACATCTCTCGAAAGTATCAGGACCTGGGCATTTTCGATCGTTAATCGCTCTCTGCCTGAAAGTACAAATCTCTTTCCTCGTTTCCCCTCTCGCGATCAATCTCACGTCGAATCGTCATGTTAATGCTCGCTTTCCGGTTTAATAGCATCGCGCGTCGTTGGAAAGTTTCGCATAGTTGGCTTTTTCGAGACACGTCGTTTACGTAACGAGGAACGATTGCGCAACATTCCGTATCGCGATTAAAAGAAGCGACTTTTTGCTTGTTAATTGGGCAACGTTCTTATCCGAAACTACAAATTGCGATCGATGGCGGAAACTTTCAAACGATTCGAGAAAAAGACCTCGCACTAATCATATGGAAAAAAGTTTTAGTCAAATTGACTGATACTTATATTTTGTAACTAATGAGATGCCGATTAAAAGCTTTCGTAAAAAATAGGCAGATTTTGCTGTAGCACTTTAAATTTGTTGTTTTGGATCCTACTTTGTATTGAAAAATATCTTTATATCTATATAATACACAGTTTTTTTTACTGTATAAACGTTTATATAATTAAATATGTATACAAGGTATTCTGTAAAGACTGTAATAATCATAAGGTAGATTCCCGGGAGACCTCATTTTAAGACAAAAATTCTAACACCAAAACATCAAAGATATAACAGTTTTTTAATTATAAGCATTTAAAGTTAATGAAGACTGTTTAAAATTTGTACATTTAGATATGATACAATGCAAAATGTTAAAAGAGAAATTAATTATCGCCTTTTGTTAAAATATTGATATAAAGATTACACTTGCAAAGATAAAATTATCGATGCTTCTAATTATTATAAAAAATGATTGTAGTCTTCACATTTTAGTATTAGAATTGTTTCAAAATAATTTTAGAAATCTCCCAGCATTGTTACAACCTTTACGGGACATTCTGTATAATTATACGTGTATTCATTATCGAAAGGTTTATGTTGCAATTTGTGTATATGTGTGTTTATGTATATGTGTGTGCACGCAGGGTAGGGTGAGTATATATCTGTATAAGTATATATCTGTGTCGTTGGCTATTCCATTAATATGCCTGACATTATCACATATGGATATCTATAAATGCCTATGCCTATATATAGTGCAAAAAACTACTGTAGATAAAAAGTACTGTAGATAAAAGTACTTTTCTATCTGATTAAACCCAAAATAACACTACATCTTCAAATAATATACAGTAAAATTTGTCTATTTTTTATGATTGTAATTATGAAAAGACCATTAATTAGCATCTCATAAGCTAAGAGAAATATTACAGTTTTAGACAATTTGAAATCTTTTTCATATGATTAATGCAGGGTCCTTTGACTTCCAATGATATCTCTACTTCTTTTTCATTTAATATCTCCTGATGAGCATTCAGAGACGTTCAGGATCGCTACGCATCGGGAACTGCGTAAGGTGCGTGAAGACGATCATGCGTTAGTTCTAATGATGCGAACGGTGCGTGCTACGTTGCGAGTCTACGAGGGAATCGGCGATTTAACCGGCAAGATTGGTCATCGCCGATTCTCCGACTTACTCTCGAGCTTGTCACAGTTGGTGACTTTGCCCTTCCAGTCACAGGTCTGTTTGTCCAAGTCAAAGGCCAATCCGCTGGGACACGTGATTTGCTTCAGGCCGGACCTTGTACACCTGCCGGAGCCGGGACAGAAAACAAAGGGTGCCTGCGTGAGTCTAATTAAGGAAAAAGACGTGACGTTTGCTTACTCTCGAGCTGATCGCAGTTCTTCACATTCGTCTTCCAGTCGCAGGTCTGCCGCTCGATGTCGAACGCGAGACCCGTGGGGCACCGCACCGTCGCCAGCCTGGTTACTCCAATCTCGCTGGCTTTGTCGCACCTAAGATCATTCTCATATCGAAAATCTTTTCCCTTTAGAGTCCATCGGGCAAGAGTCTAACCAATTTCGACAGTGTCAGACAATGTTCAAATATGGTGGATAGAAGTGTGTAATAAAAAAATTGTTAAAATATATTTTATAATAGTTATACGGTCAAAGATATGTAAATTTTTTATAATTTTGTAATTTCATGACTTGAATATACAATTTTATTATTTTAATTTTAATTGCTGTTTAAATTTTTATTTAATTTCCACGTTATTAAATGGAAAATTGCGATTGGCTTTACTATCATTAATCTCAGATTTAGGTCAATCAATTTGTAAGAAATAATACCTGGCCAGAGACTTGCTTGAGGGATTCTATTTTCAACGCACATGTAACGGCCTCTCGAGAACACAGTGAATAATTTCGAATTTCGCTCTGTTTCACGAAATAATTAAGCACGGAATACAATAGAGACGAAACAATGTGTTTAAAACGTAAACAATGTAAACAAGTATAAGTGCATTGACATATTATAAACTGGCATTATGCGCGAGCCATTGTTGTGACGTAACATAATCGAGCAATATAGCGTTTATGCGCTTCTATTGTGTTCCGTTAATATGATTTTATGTTTTAATGATACTCCCGTGAATGAAAGTCGTTGAATAAATGAAGGAACAATGATTGCTGCATTAGAAATACGATAAAGGCAAGTTACTCGTATCAATAAAAGAATGTCAAATGGCAAGTGAAGTGTTAAACTGGTCTCAAAGTTGCATCTACCGGATCGCCTTGAGCCCTGGAAAATCGGAACTTGATCGAGGCATTCCTGATCAATCACATCCTGGATCAATGATTAAACCGTTAACGTTTTTATCATCCATAACTTATCATCATTTGCATTCCGGGATGTATTTATTATACATTCTGTTAAAACCGGACGCCCTTGGAACTTACATTCTCTGGCATAGTGCCGAACGAAAGATGTAAAAATCAAATAAGAGAAAGAATCCTATTTTTGGTCAAAAACAGATCTTGATGCTTAATAATGTATATTTTTGCATAAGAATTATCAAGTACCAACATCTGCCTTGCCGGCTAAAAATAGGATATTCTTCCCCTTACTTGATTTAGGCCCGATTACACTAACGTTACTTTGATTTTAAGCGAGACTCGAAATCTCTGTCTGTCTCTGTCTCTCGTTCAACTTTAAAACGAGCCAGAGAGAGTTTCGAGTCTCGCTTAAGTCAAACTAACGTTGATGCAATCAGGTCTTATCCTTATAAGTCTATCTAAAATTTCACTTAGAAGATATAAAATAATGTAACATACATCTCGCTTCCTGCATCTTTTAACGATCATATTAGCAAAGCTCTTTTAAATGTGTGTGCGTAAAGGTAAGCGCATTAGGATTATATTAGCGAGATTAGAACCGGCGCGTGATCCAGGGAAAGTACAGCGATTGAGTCTGCTTCCTGGCGACCGGTAGAGTCAGTGATATAAGACGAGATACAGGCGGAAGTGAGTCAGCGAGCTAGCTTTTTTATTTAAAACCCGATTCACCTTGCGCGTGATTCCATTCACCCGCTGTAAATTAAATGCATTACATAAGGCGGTATAATTATAATGATACAAAGCGCGGAGGCAGCTCGCCGCGACGTTCTCCAAGTTCTTGGAAACCGGTGCCTAAATTTTTAATTTCTGTATGAAATAGTGTAGAGAGAGAGAGAGAGAGAGAGAGAGAGAGAGGTTTATATAATATTATTCTGCTCGGAACGTTGAAGTAGGATCCGATCCTGTATTCGTGGAATAATACGACGGCTTACCTCACGACATCGCGACAGTCTCCTTCAACGCTCAAGCGAAAGTATTCGTCGCCCGGCCTGTCCTGACAAAGTTCCTCTGCATTTGCGTCAACCCCATCGGCTCCTTCTTCATCTTGCGCTCTGACCTGTGTCCCTGAAGAATGATTTGTTAATTAATAATGCTCATTTTGCATTGCGTATAAATTACACAATTAACTTTATATTAAATTCAATTTATATCTTCTTC